AGCGGGCGGCGCGGACACTTGCGGCTTCTCCGGCTGCGATCGCGCCCTCGGCTCCCCGCAAGGCCGCTGCCCGTCCCCGCCCAGGGGCAGGAACTTCGGGGTTCACACCCTCGGGGACTTTGCTCCCGCATTGTGCAACGCGGGGTTCACTGGGGAGGAGCCGCCCCAAGTTGGCCTCGGCAGGGGTTAGGGAAGATCTGGAAAAGGGGCGGGGGAGGAGGGTTGCGGGGTGGGGATGGGAACGGCGGGCCCGGGTGCTGGAGGAGAAGCCAAGAGACCAAACTGGGGGACACTGGAGCGCCCCGGCGGAGGCCCGGAGACGCGGCCGCGCCGCGCATGCGCAAGCGTGTGTGTCTGGTCTCCTCTGGGGGCGCTCACCTAGGGTAGGGGAGCCCTGGCTGGGAACTGGAGGCCTTCTGCCCCAGATAACTGCCTCCACCGGGGTGCAGATCCTGCCTCTCCCTCTGAGGAAGTAAGGATGAGAAAGTGCGTTTAGACTCGTTCTGAATGCTCAGTGGACTCTAGGCTCTCTAAAAGTATACGGTGTGCCTCAACAATCCACACTCAACAAATACTCATTCTGCAGTGCTCAGGCTGGTCATACTTTCTGGTCTCCGAAAACAATCCTTTCTCAGCGAATAATAATAATGTTGGGCAAAAAATAATAATGTTGGCATATACAGAAAAGTAGCAAGACTATCAAACTGTTTAGGGAACTGGCAAACTAGTGCCAGGTGTTGAGTTTTAATTCTTGGGTTTCTTGAAATATCTTTCCTCGATAGCTCTGTACTCTTGAGACAATTAGATGACCTCTCTGAACCTGGATCTCTCCATCTGTATGATGTAAAGCTAGCACAGACTTGTTTTATATTACATAATATCTAATATATAATATGTCTGCAATATATAAAACAATTACATATTAACATATATAAATATATTACATATTATATAATATATACATGTAATATATAAAACATATTACATGTTACAGTTATACATGTTATATTTTGTAATACATATTTGTGTAATATATATTATCTAATATATGTAATACCTATAACAATATTATTTGTAATCTATAATATATCATCTATAAGAGGTATTATGTCATTTATTATTACATGTATGTTATATAATATATAAATTTATATATATATAATAGGAATATATCTACAGCAATAATACCCACCTCATAAAGTTTTGGCAACAATAAAATGATTCAATAAGTGGTAAATTCTTTTTTTTTAATTTTATTTTCAAATGATATACAGAGGGGTTATAGTTACATAAGTAAGGTAGTAAGTACATTTCTTGTTGAACTTGTTACCCCCTCCCTCATTTTTCTCCACTTTCCCTTTCCTCCACCAACCCCCCCTCAAGTTGCACAGATCATTTCCAACATATTGTCTTGAGAGTATAACTTGCATTGGTTCCTCCTTTGTCCTTTGTTTCACCACTTTGTTCCCCTTCCCTACCCTAATTCAGATTAATGTATATACAATACCCACTGTTGGCTGTAACAATGATCATTGTCATTATTGTTCAACCTTTCTGTTTCCTGTTATTATTCTTTGAAGGTCTTTCTAAAGTAACCTATACACTCACCTTATTCTCTTTAAAACTGCAGAGTAATTCTATCTTTGGATGCATAATATGTAACCATTCCTAAGGATATTTAGGCTACCACCCGTTTTTCAGTTTATAAACCATCCTTGTCTCACCAACTTTATGTGGGTAGACTTTTCTAGAAACAATATAAAATTAATCAGAGACTACATCTTTTTAATTAATAGAATCAACAGCTTGATCTTCCAAAGCAGTTGTTTAAATGTTATAGTCCCATCAACACTGCATGAAAATGAAACTGTTTTACACAGCCAGATGGCAACAATAAGGGGAAAAAAAAAATAAGAAGTGAGCTACTAATTTAAATTCTACCCTGTGGAGATATGTATACCACATACAAATTTGCGTAATAAATCAATTGCAATTATAAAAAATGAAAATAAATCTCCCAAGAGTGTGAATCCAGGCAACCACTGTAGTTTTTCTCAGCATGATAACATTATCTATTAACAAATATTTGTTAAGAAGCACCACAGGCCAAAAACGTTGGATTTTCTCAACATTGGCAATGATTGGGTTGCTTTGGGTCTCCAATAAAATGCCACGAAGTCTAATGGAGTCAAGTATTTGCATTTAGGTGCCCAGGGGGGAAAAAAAGGATTACTTGGCCCTATGAAGATTTGATAGGTTTTGTCTCCTTCCCATATTATAGGTACTTAGAGTGCTCAGTAATTGTTGATAGACTTAAGTATCAGGCCTATCATTAATATTAATCATAGACAGCTATATAAGAAAGTGTATGCATTATTTTGTAAAACCACCTCAAAAAAAGCTATACCTAAAAAGCTATACAAGATTGCAAAGACTACGTTAAATGCTTTCATTAAGGTAGAAATCTGATCTACTTGGAAAAGTCATCTTTATGAGTTAGTAAATATTTTACAGCTTGCTGAAATATCTTTGGGCTAGAAATGGTAGCACATGCCTGTAAACCCAGCTACTTGGGAGATACAAATAGTAAGGTCATGCTTTAAGACCAGAGGGGGCAAGAAAAAATTTAATAACATCCTAGCTCAAGAACTTCTAGATCTATGAGAAATAAATTAAGCCAGAGAGGCCATCCTAGACCAGACAGACACCACATGACTGACCAGTAAACTACTTATATGATAAAAAAGTGTGAGTCAAGCCTAATCAACATTGGCCAATTACTCATAAATTTGTAGATTTTTACATTAAACAGGCCTTGGAATTTTTTTTTAACACAATAGCATGTTACTGGAAATTTGTCTTAGAGACAAATTGGATTGTAGGGCTATATAGCTCAAGAAAATATCTGTTTTACAGACAAGACTACTTACTAGTATTCAATAGTCTAACTTTATTTCCTGTGAATTTCTACTCTGAAAAGTTGGACTTTCCCTCTGATTGGTTAATGTGCATGCCTTTTAGAGTTCTACATTCAAGTGTAGGCTTTAGAGTTGTTTGTGTTTAATGATTAAGTCTTTCAGGGAGGGGAGGATTTAAAAAGAAGAAAACTGATAGCAAAACATTTAGAAAAATAGAGCTTAAAGAAAAGACAAGTAGGAAAAAAATGTTCTGAATTATTTGGGGAATAAATAAAGCAAGGCTACAAGAATCCGCAAGATGTTCATTCTAACCAATAAGAAACAGCTTTCAAAAGAAGTTGTTGAGGGGGGAGAGGAGGCGATGTGAAGGGGAAACAAAGGAGGAGGCAACAATGCTTGATAAGAAATGTACTCATTGTCTTGCCCACGTAATTGTAACCCCTCTGTACGGTATTTTCACAATAAAAAAAAGTAAAAAAAATAAAAAAGAACTGCTAAGTTTAAAAGGGCTGGGATATGGCTCAGATAGTATAGAGTGCTTACCTAGCAAATTTAAAGTCCCTGAGTTCAAATCTGAGTACCACAAAGAAAGATAAAAGGAAAAGAATGAAGAGAGGAAGGGAGGGAGAGAGGAAGGAAGGAAAGAAAGGAAGGCAGCTGCTCATCTGGCAGTAGAACCTCTGAGTTCAGAGAAGGATGGCCATAGGTGTGAGGTGCAGACTTAGGAAGAGAGCACCCTTTGGCTGTCACTGTAGGCTCAGATGTGACCCAGTGTATCTCGGCGGTCATTTTCATGGCCTCTCTCCTCACTATCCTATGTAAGACCCCAAGTCAAAACCCAATGCCATTTCCACCTCCTTATCTAAGACCCTACAATATCATAGCTAGTCTTCAGGCTACCTCACTGTTCCCTCAGCCACAGTGATTTTGTAAAACTGCAGATCTAGTTATAAAATCTTCCTGCTTTATTTCACAGACCCTTACTTTGGCTTTCCCCTGTGCACTCATACTTCCCATTTGTCAGTTCCTCAAACACATTCTCTCACTTATAGATCTCTGCACCAATCAGAGATCCACTTTATGTGTATATCACTCTCTCATTTTTATGGTCTTCATCTCCTACCTTTGGCCAATTCCTCAACTCTCATGTAAGATAGATAATCATCAGTGGGCTCTTCCCTAACTCTACATGCTCTTTAGGAGGCACCCGAGTTAATTGACTTACTGAGATATTCTTTTACTAGCCTCTGGCTGTTGTCTTTTCTCCAGTGCTCATATTTAGGCCAACACTCACAGGCTTTTATTTTAGATGGTTGCCATTGGAATGTGCTGAGAGCACACAATATAGATTCTGT